TAGCCACGTGCAGCCATATTCCTTATCCTTTTGACCAAGTCAAGAGTTGTGGCTTGCTGAATGGCAAATGCTTCAAATCGAATCTGATGGAAATTTAGCTTGGGTGTTTTCTTTATTTTTTCCAAGGCTTAGAAGTGGAAATTATTTATTTAAATAATTTTCGATTAGTTTTTTGGGTTGTGAAAAACTAAATCAATAGTAGAATAGTTGTATGCAAGTATTTCAGAAAAATTTCCATGTCTAACTTTTCTGTTTATTAAAATATACATAAGCTAATTTGTTGCTCTATTTTATTAGAATTTAAATATGGTAAAATAAATTGTGTACTAATGTTTATAGTCTAAATTAAATCTAAACATTTTTGTAAAAAGCCAAGCCATAGCTTAAATTACATTTTAAATTTCCTATATTTTAAAACAGATAAATATTTATTATAACAACTTTTCAGGGGAGATCAACATATTTTAAATTAATGAAAACACCTAAAAAGCCCTAAGCTTCCGGTTCCCCAATTCTTGAGGTGGCCATAATGGAAGTGATTCTGTTCCCCGCTTTGAGCATTCACTAATTGCTCGGCCACAACACCTGCTGCCGGCTGTTTTTAAGGTGGCATTTTGTCCAGGAAGTGGAGCGATGTTCCACCGACGAGGGGAAAAAACCACAAATTTACATAAATATGCCACAAATCATAGAGCTCGCCGCTGCCCCTGCAACTTGCGGTCCATGTGACAGTGTCTCTGGTTATTATGAATGCATAAAAAGTGCTCATAAGTTCATTTTTTCAAACTACACTTCCATTGCAATTAAAATACCAAAAAGGATACAAAAAACGATTCGCTTTAAATATATACATATACCTAGCCCATAAAAAATACCAAGAAAATTTATGTGCAGCACATGGCACGCCTGAAACTAAAGGGTTTCCCTTAAATTCTGCTTGATTTTTTTTGCGAATTTTTGCGGTGTGAAACGCACGTTGCATAATAATAAAAGTTGGAGGGGAGTGGAAGTTGTGGGAGTGGCACTTGAATGCCATGGGCTTGCACCCCACCATCGTGGTAAACGGCTGCAATTGTTTGTCATTAGCAAATGTTGCCCTTTTGGGAACTTTACGAGTACATCCCCACACCCAAAATGCTTTTGTAGGCCTTGTACTATAGCAGACAAAATTTGTGACTGCGACAGTTTGTCTGGTCGTCCTTTACACCAACCCATCGAAATGCACCACCTCCGAAGCGAAGGACTCCTCTCATTTTTAACGCACCATTTGACCATTTTATGTAGGTGCAACATTGCAGCACAAAACACGACTAAACATAACCTCAGGCTGTTGCACGAACAATTGGGGATTCAAACGAACATGACCGCAAAATACCGAAATACTCAGCATAATCCCTTTAAATCAATGGCAGTTTGAGATTATAGACTGAACTGAAAACTATTATTTATTGCAGCGAGAAGTAAATATTCAGAGCCTTTCCAAAACATGAAATATTTGAAAAAGAGATCACACTACAAATAATAAATTTAAGAAAACTTTATACTACATATCTTTTAACATGTTTATCTAAATAGATTTAAAATAATTTTGTTTTTAAATATGCAAAACGGTGAAAATTTAAATGTATTTAACTTATAATCAATATTTAATACAATACAAAATTGATTACTTTTATGACAATAGTTTTATGTAGAAACAAACATTTGCCAAAAAATTCCCCATTGAAAAAATAACTTTAGCTAACTGTTCTGGATTGCGCTTGATGAAATTTCATTAAAAGTATGTTTGACTTTTCACTTTAAAAAATTTGCGAACTCACATCAAATTTCATCAGCAGTTTTCGAAATAAAACCCAACCCCCAAACCCTTTAACAACCCCTTGACATATGCAGCTTTTTATTTGACAAAATAACGAACTCTTTTAATGAGCATAGCCAACAAACTGTATTCCTTTTTTCGCCTGTCGGCGCCAAATTAATTTTAGCAGTCTGAGGGATAAATACTTAATGCACCAGAGGCGACAAAATAAAAGGTAGATGGTTTTCAATCCATCTAGCCAAAGGGACTGTCTATAATGTGCGGCACTCGTTTAATTTGTGCATTTTTTTACTCTCTGCTCCGTGCTAAACGGTTGACATAATGAAAATGTAAATTACACAAAAGTTATGGACTCATTTCGAAACTCCAATACGGGACACGAATGGAGATGGAACTTGACTTTATGAGCACATAAACTTCGCCTGTTGCCACATGAGACTTGGGTCTCATCTCATTAGAGCAACTTTTTGCCGGCATCCAGCGAAACGTAAATAGATTTCAACTCAAATTGCTTGGGCCTAAGTACAGCTGAGCTTTGTGGAATGGTACGACTTAAAAAATACAAAACAGGATTTGTTCAATGGCCTTGGCTATAAAATACCTTAGCTCAGATTAGAATAAGAAACCCACCTTTAAATAAGAATATTTTTAAATTAAATTTTTACTTTTTGTCTTTGTTTGAACTTCCTATTCTGATGTACATACATGTTAGATGGTTTTCATTCATTAGGTGAATGCAAATTAATGTATTATTCGCACATACATTTATCAAATGTTTAGTAAGCTTTAAGTAGATGTTATCTTATATTATTATATGGCATTATTAATCTTTTTTATAAATCATTGCCAGAACTTTGTTCAACCCAACTATACATCCTGGATTAAAAGAAAGAAGCCCGAAAAAATATTAGGCTTGTATTTTTGGCTGCGATTATTTGTCGTTTTCTTATCAACGCACTTCCGCATCATTAAATAATTTTATCATTTGCATTATTTTCACTTTCCTAAGCACAGTTAATAACGATGGCAATAAGGATGATGATGAAGCTCGTTGGTGGAAGAAGGTTACAAAGTTCCCAGGGAAAGTTATGGGGTTCGGGGGTTGGTCACAGGCTGATTTCACTAATTTGTAATTTATGCGACACTTTTGCGGCTAAGTTGCGGAAAAAGTTGATGGGAAATCTTTTTTAATTAACTCAAGGAAAATACTAAACAATTTGCATTTTTACCAATTCGGAATGGTTTTTTTTTTCCCCGGGAAACCATAGATATGTAAATGTAAGCACTGGCTCACATTTTAGTGCAGTTCTTAAGACTTTCAAGATTCGAATCTAAGGCATATATATTTGACAAAAGAAGCAGGAGACTTGAGTTCACTTCACTTACATTACAAACACATTAAAGTTGCCCAGGGAACATGAAAAAAAAATAATTTTTTCCAGGCACGGGGTATGCAAATGCAAATGCCAAAAGACATGAGAAGAGCATGGGACAAACGATAATGAGGACAAACAGCAGAAGCAGCAACAACTGCCACTTGCAGCTACAATGATAATGTTGCTGGCTGTTGATGACAACAACATCTAGCAACAGCAGCAACAACTAAAATCACCTACACTGGGAGATAAATAATTAACATTACTGTTGACAAAAAGAGTGGTGTGTTTATTAGGAAAATATAATATAATATAATATAATATACTATAGGAGAAAATGTCTTTAAAAAATCCCTGAAATCCGTTTCAACAGACATGTTTGTTATTGTTTTATGTTTTATTTTTTAATGATATCGTTAGTTACATATTTATTTGTTAAACTTTTCTGTATAATTATCAGTGTAGGTGCAACCACCACTAACAACCAAACAACCAACGGAAATCAGCTAAGGAATGCGCGCCCCAGTGAAGCATTTTCCCTCCATCTTTTTTTGCTTCTACACCCCCCTCCCGCCTTTAAGTCCTTGGCAAAAAACGAAATCTAAACGCTGTCTGTGCCTGCCACTCCCCCGCCTTTTTTCCATAGAAAGGATATGCCTGCCGCTGCTCATTTTCGCTACTAAATAAGACAGGCCGCCGCGTCCTCGAACAACATTTTGACATTTCTTCTTTTTTTTGTGATTTGCCTTACAAATTTTTACATTTTCGTGCCATAACGCGAGGTCTCAGGAAAAAAGGAAGAGAAATGCATAAACCGAACTGGAAGCAATCCTTTAGTAAGAACTATATTTTTTTTAATTTATGGAGCAAAGCAATTTAACTTTCATTGTCTTCTTTATTGTAAATTCTAGAACATAATAAGATCTTCAACCATTAATTTCATATTTTGCGGAATATACAGTTGAAAACTCGAATTTTTGTTTTCTTTAAATACAAATGCAAATTAATATTTGTCAGCTGCCTAAGGAAGGCAACCAAAAAGCTTTCCCCTTATATTAAAATATAAAACAATCTGCGGATTGGTTTCTTAGTATGGACAGTTTTTTTTCTGCATGCTCGATTTAGCCAAAGAAAAACGAAAGAATTCTCAGTCAAGTGAAAATGTCAGCCACTCAAAATGTGTGCGCCATTCCGCATACATAATAAATCTACCTAAACCGAACAAACATGAAATAAAGAAAAGAGCAAGAAGTTAATTTTAGGTTTAACGATTTGGAAATAACGCCACAAAACAGGACGACAAATTATTTGGCCATCATCTCCAGAAGTTTCGCATGGCATTGGCAGATTGGCGAGGGGCTAAAAACTTATTAATTTTCACAAAGTCAGCCACACGCAAAAAGTATACATCCAAAATTGTGAAAAACTGTGACGTTATGCACATGAGTGAGCAAATAACAGCAGCAACATCAACAACACAGCAGCAACATCAACAGCAGAGCAGCAACATTAAAACCCAGCAGCAACAACAGTGTCCAAAATGCATAGCATACTTTGCCGGGCTTTGGTTGAGTTTTGTGGGGGGACCGATTGGACGGAATTAAATGGGTCGGGAGTTGGCAGCAAAGTCAACAAATTATGAGTAATTGTAATGGGAGAGCGCCTTAAGTGGGAAAAATATATACAAACTATGAGTAATGGGGGTAAGAAGAAGATAGAGCAATCTTATGGAAGTCTGTTTAAAAAATCTTTGGAAAATTTACAAATCGGTAATTTTGTTACTTCACAAATAAAAAAAACATAAATGAAGACATTTATATATCAATTATTAAGATAACATAACTGTCCACACAATATTGGCGCACATTAAAACATAACAATGTTAAACGGAAATGATAAATTGAACACTTCAAAGGATTATCGCTCCAGCAGACGCCGGTACTCGCTGAGGATTTGCTCTTCCTGCACCAATGGCAGATCCAAATAGTTGGAACTATTTTCAGAGAGGTCCTCATTGAATCTCTTGAAGGCATTGTACGATTCCATCTCCGATTTTGCCTGACCAAGAACCGATTGGATTAGGGCCAACTTGCTGCTAGATAAGTTTAACAAAGGGGCAGAGCTATTGCTAGTTGTTCTATTTGAACCCGAAGGACCGTGATCTTCCAGTAACTTTGTCATGGCTCCAATAACTGCCATTAACTCCGTTTCATTTACGAAACTTTTCAGTAAGAATTCCACGGATTTTCGGAAATCATTTTCGGTAGTTTCCAAAGCAGATCGAGCGGTTTGAGTCTGAAAGCCCAGTTGCTGCAGTGTGGAAAGTAACGATTCGTCGACGGGAGGTGTTGCGGTTAGATTGGCCCTAAGTTCATCTGAATGGCGCTGTAGGAGGTCCAGACTTCGATCCAGGTTATTCTTGGTTTTCTTCAGAGCTTCCACCACCAAACGCCTTTCGTAGCCCATCTCCATGAGTCTGCAGACACTCCGTGGATCTACCCAATCCCCTCCTGAATTCGCCTCCCTCATCTCTTGGTTTACTTGCCTCAAGGGAGCCGAGTTTCTGCGCTCTTCGCTGACTTTCTCCCTGCGATCCTGGATAAATTGTATAGCTCTGTCAATATTACCGGCACAGGATCTTAGGGCCAATCTGGCGTCCGATTCCCCATAACCCATCTCCACCAGTGTCAAAAGCTGATCATCGTTGACTTTTAACTCATCCAAGGCTTTGGCCGCCTCCTCCAATCTTTCATATGACTCATCTCTGCGATTTTGGTGAAAGTAGAGCACACCTTGCAGAAGGTGTAGTCTCATAATCAAAGCTCTCTCAGGACAACTGGTACCCTTGATGGCATACAATCGATCAAACTGTTCGCCGTAGCTCTTGCGAAAACTCCTTTCGCAAATATCCAAACGTCGCTGGGCATCAGGTAACTGGGTGATATTCTTCAGGCAAAGATAACACCACACAATGTCCAGATTTATGAGGGCATAGTTGTCTACCGCTTCCAGGAACTTGGAGTTACATCGCGAGAAGAGTTCATCGGTTTCAAGGAGCAAGAGTAATGCCTCATCCAAGTTTTCTTTTCGCATGGCAGCTCTGGCTTTTTCATACATGCCCATGGCCATTAGCAAAGTTCGATTTTCATCGGGAGGCAGGAAGATCGGGCGTCCATCTTGATCCTCCATTTCCATAAAGCGATGATCGGCGTCCGCAACTATCTCCACATCCGCTCGAATCCTTTGGATGCGTTCATGCAACTCCTGACCCTGGTTCCCTCCTCCAACCACCACCATTAGTTGCTGATTGGTTTTTAGACCCTGCGATGCCAAAGTTCTCATACCGTTGATAATGCGACCTCCGGAAATGCACTTTACATGACTGGGATCTGCTAAATCCAGTTTCTTAGCCACCTCCTTTTGAAGATCAGCGCCTGAGACTCCCAAAGAGCACTTAATCTCCATCATTTGTGAAGTGCCCCCTTTGCTGTCCACACATCGCACATTGAAAGTGGCCAAGCCCGTGTCATTGAACTCCCTGCGAGCAGCCAGCTTCCTCAGAGCACCATCCTGCATTTCGACCAGCGCACACCTGCAATCGGAAATGCTAATGTCCAGATCTCCACTCAGATCCCTCGCCAAGCGATCCATCTCCGATTCAATACTGCCCACGCCATCGAAGTAGTACGGCTCCTCCCACAACTTTATATCCCGATCCCGCAGTCGAGCCCGCAGTTTAATAAATGTATTGTCTATTTGAGACATGATCCGTCAGCAACCGTGTCAAACTGAATAATTTTTGAATTTATTATCGATAATTTGATGTATTATGCTTGGCCTAAATTAAAAATTTTTTGATATCTTAAACCACTTTTCATTTAACTCTTATAAATGTTTTTTATTTATTAATTTGTCTATTAAAATTCTTTGAAAAAAGAATTTTTTTATCGGCAACCAAAAGCGACTAGTGAACATTTTTAAATCTACCCAAAAAGTAGCAAAACACTATAAAATATTGACGGTTATATATACAATATCTTATACAAATGTATATCAGTAGAATGGTTCAACAACCCTCTCCTATGCTATCAATTCAATTGCCATTTAAGTACCACTTACTAAACCAGAAAGATAACAACTAGCTTAAGTTGTTATCTTATCTAACTCTTGAACTTAAATTTCATTTTATTAAAATATAAGTTCATTTTGATCACAATAACTTGGAAGTAGATAAAACCTTCTAAAGTTAAGATGTTACTAAACACTCCATTATCTATCTTAATCATTTCATTATTAAACTAGGTATATTAACACAAATGTAGCAAATTTATTAATAGTAATATACATTTGACTTTAAAATGTTTTGTTATACCTTTAGGCAGACATTAATGTTGGGCAAAAAGGAGTTGAAGGAGACCTTTACATCATTGGTTGCCCTCAAAAGGCAGGAGCCGGTATTGGCGGGCAACTTGGCGATCAGTCTCAAGGCTCTGGGAATCTGCCTGACCAGCCGTAATGTGGCCCTGAATACTTTCCAGAAGCACTTGAAAGAGTTATAGACCTTGGTGACTATGGACTTTTCCTTGGCACACAACTTGGATCGCAGGTTTATTATAGAATCGCAGATTTGGATAATCTTGTTCACGGACTCAACAACTTTGGCCACATCCTTGGGAACTTCGGTGCCGCAGGCCCTAATGGCACTCACGTAGTTTTTGCTGGAGTTCAGGATATTGACCACCTCCTTAATGATACAATTGGTGCCAAGAAGAGTTCTCAGAGCTCTCCAAAGGATTCGCCTGCAACTACGAATAAAGCCAAGATCCTCCACATCCATATAGTCATTGTCCATATCCAAATCATCCAGCAACTGATCCAGTTCCAATTCATAGGCGAAGTCATTATCCAAACTCTCTTCGGCTGATCCAATGGTGTTGGCCTAAAATCATAGGTGTTATATTATTCCAATAAACATATTCGTTTTAATTAGTATCATTATATGTTTCACAAAATATATATTCTCTTCTTCAGACTTCAAATCCATAAACTTACCCGAGTGGTTAGCACACAAGTGGCCGAAACCAAAACCAGAAACAAAAGCGTAATAGACTTCATTTTTCTTGACGGTTGAGAAACGAATGTTTGAGGCCCTCACTTTATGCTTCGTTTATATATGCTTAGATTATCTTTTCATAACACACAGTAATCAGATCGTGGGTCCACTCGAACTATGCCTATTAGAACACATAAGTATTTCAAATAATAGATAATTTCGCACGTGGGGACATTTAATCGAACCACAAAAAGTACGCAACTACTATCATTATCTACACAGCCCCAAAATTGTGATTTGTGGGAATTATTGGGGAGTTCTAATAAAACATATTAAATGGAACATTATAAAAGTAAGCAAGAGAAATATAAAAATGTAATGTTTTTTATAAAATATTATAAAATGTTTATTGAGATCTAACTCTTTTAGTAATAGAGAAACCTTTTGGAAATTAGCACAGACAAATCGGTAAACAATTGAAAACATTTAAATTAAGAATTTACATAGACTCAATGCAGACATTGATGTTGGGCAAGAAGGAGTTGAAGGAGACCGTGACCTTATTGGTGGCATTCACGAAGCAGGAGCTGGTATCTGTGGGCAACTTGGCGATCAGCTTTAGGGTCTTATTGATTTTCCTGGTCAGTTTCATGGAGGCCTTGAACAATTTCCAAAAGCATTTGGATGAGTTCTCGATGACCGAGCCCACGGACTTTTTCGCAGCGCAAAGTTTCGATTTAATGTGAAGAATGTCATTGCAGATTTTGATAATCTGCTTGACAGAGTCCACAATCTTGGCCACATCCTTGGGAATGGCAGTGCCACAGGCATCGATGGCATCCACGTAGTTGGTGCAGGAACTCAGGATGTTCACCACCTCCTTGATAATGCAGTTGGTGCCACGAACTGTTTTCAAAGCCTTCCGAAGGATTTTTCTGCAGGTACGAATAAAGCCCTGTTCTTCAACATCCATATAGTCATTGTCATTATCCAATTCATCGAGCAGCTGTTCCAGCTCCGATTCGAAGTCAAATTCATAGTCAAGGTTTTCTTCTCGGAATTCACTTGAATTGGCCTGAAATTAAAAATATTTAATAAGGTATTCCGATTAAATTTTACTCATAAACACACCTGAGTTGTCAGTAGGAAAGTGGCCGAAACCAGGACCAAAAGACAAAGTGTGATAGCTTTCATTTTACTGTCCAATTAACGAATGTTTGTGGAGCGAAATCGATGATCAGTTTTTATACAGCCAGTGCATTGCGCATTATCGCAAATTAATCACTTCGTAGAGTGTCCACTTGATCTATCCTAGTCTATTATAACTGATATTTCTGTTAACTATAGTCTTGAAAATTGTAATCAAATTTACTTTATCTGATAAGCAAATCTTAACTTTTCCAAAATCAATTTGATAAGGATGGTTTTGGTATCAATTTGCATTGAGGTAGCTTTATAATTAACTAGAACTAGTTAAGCAACTATATATTATATATGTGGACTGTTCAAAAACAAGAGCATTTTATAGCCCCACTTAATTTTTCACCATCTATAGTTTTCCCCCAACGACACGAAATTGTCCCCCAAAATATGTCGAATTTTCGCTTGCAATTAGCACACCATATCAGGAAATTTCCAGCGTTAAATCCACTTGGGCACCCTTAAGAATCGAGGCTCAGGACGAATTAAAAGCCGTAAACCACAGACAAAGAGGAAAAGAACCACAATCGAATGGTGGCAACCAACAGATTCCGGACACAATAGACGACAAAAGGAAAAAATTGGTTGCCATTGTCAGCTTAACGCGCTCGGTTCACTTTGTCCGGGTTATAAATGGTAACGTGTGGTTAAGGGTTAATAACTCCCACTAAGGGGGCGGGAAAAAAAAGAGGACCAGGACCAAGACATTTCATAGATACAAAAGAAAGTTGGCACCCCGTGACAACAAGTGTGGCTGCTAATGAAAAGTGCCGTAAATGTCTGTCGTAGTATCGCCTCGAATGGCGAATTGCGAATGTCGAATGGATGGGTCTTCGTGTTCTGTCATTAAGTTAGCTGGGGTCTCCCCTTTTCGATGGGGTGAACTTTGTATGTCTCTCCGGGTGATAAACTAGCTGACTGAGTTGTTTAGGGTTTTCATTTCGGGTTGATTCCACAGCCCTAGTTTTTGTTCTGCAATTGCTCTTTTTGACTGGGAATAGGGATGATAGAGAAGAGTTCTTAAAGGATGGATCTTGAAGCAATCATTAGGAGATATAATTGAAATAAGTGTGCGTCATATTATTTATAGTGTAAAACAAACCATCACTTTTCTAGGAACAAATTGTTGAACTATACTAATTCTATAAAAGTTTTAAATAATTACTTGCCAAACATATTGTAGAAGTAAAAAAATAGGTGGTTGATTTTTGCTATATTTTCTTGCAAGTACTCATCCCTCTTTCCTTCCCTTTAGCCTCTCATCTTGTTACTGTCTGCATCCTATCTGCACTTGGCATAAGTTAAATGTCGAGTAAATGTGGCTGACAACCATGATGATGCATCGCTGCCTGCATATGACACTTTCTAAGATCCTTGTCCTGTCCTTGCTTGTCCTTTTTGCTTTCGTCCTGGGCATGCAGCGTGTATGAAATCAATGACATGTTGTCGGCAAAGTTTCCTCGGCACTAAGTGAGTTTTATCCCCCCTTCGGGCATTAGACTAATATGAACTGATTTACTCCAGAACGAGTTCCACCTAAAAGTTGACAAGTGACAAGTCACATTGTTGTACATTAAATTAATGAAATCATTCCGCAACTTTTACAGGTCATGGCCGTACTCATTGCTCTTCTTCGATTACGGGAAACTTGAAGTGTCTGTCCGGACCTGCGGCTCATAAATATTGAGCGCATTATGTCAGGAGCAGAAAAAAGAAAAAGGGGGCGGAAGGATACGGGCCTGCAGTCAATTGTTGGTCATCAATCTTTTAAACAAATGCGGTTCAGTGCCAGTGACAGCGGCTTCATCGAAGAGGGGTGGAATAAAATTAAGAAAAGGGGCGAAACACCGCTGCTGAAATGCTGAAAAAAGACCAACGGCAGGATGAGTGTTGCAAGTCAAGCTGGACTAGGGAAGTACCCTTTATTTTTTTAATAAGGCTTCATTTTAAAAATTGTTTATAACTTTTGATAATTTAAAAAAAAAATACAAAACTGAGTACAGTCTTTTCCCTCCTTCTCACGGTAAGTGAAGACTAGTTTTAAAGCTATATATTTTGACACTATTTCCGAGTTTAAGACCTATCCATAAAGACGAGAAAAGAAAGCCAATAATGCGCTAAATCAAATTTGCATGGTCCAGTTTAAAAAAATATGGGAAGACCTTAAACAAAATAAATTCTTCTAGTTAGTAGAATAACTCTTTTGCCTTTAAAAAGTTGTGATTAGTCAGTGCTGGAAACTTTATTTTCAGATTTAATCTTTAAATGTTATTTAGTTACTGTCAATATTTATATTTAACTTTGTTAAGTATTCAGATATAATTCAGATATAATTTAGATATAAATGATATCCCCTAAATTTCTGTGGCCATATGTTGCTCTGGTTTTTCTGCTGTGTATGACACACCATTTGACCTCTGCCGTACACACTGCAGTCATTGGTAACTGGCTGCCAACGGATACTCTCCTTCTAAGCCAGGATGTATTCGTTAAAGGGAGAAAAAAGGGAAACATCGCACACAAGTTTTATTATACACAAAAGGTGTTTACCAGCTAGTTAACTTTATACTTAACATTTAATTACATTTTTTTAGACCGATCCGAAAGTGATCAGCGCCATTATACTAAGGAACAATCATAAGTCTGCGTTTGGATCCGACGGAGTTCTTCTCGAAGGTGGGCCAAACAATATTTACTGTGCCATTCGACTGTCGGCAAGAAAAAATTATAATATCGACTACAATATTAAAATATATAGCAATAACAGAAATCTTGAAAAACCCTAAAAAAGATAACCTATCTACAAATGAAAAATTATATGAATTAAAAACTAACAATATGTGAGCACATATTTGTCACTACTATTTTTTTTTTTTGTAATACAATACCAATACCAAGTATAATAAAATTATTATTTTTCTAAGTAAGCGAAACCGTGTTAAGCCGTGACTAAAATATATATTTTTGCTCAGAAACTAAACTAGGAATTTCACTTATTCATTTTAATGACAGAAGCTGGAAGACCATGTCACATTTGGTGAATAGTATTCTTGTGGCGATTGCCATTGTGGCAATTGCGAATGAGGTTTGTGGCGGTGGAAGTACGGTATTTGGAGTATTGGAAAGAGGTGCCAAACTATTACATAAAGACGAAATTGTGGAGCCTCACAAGTTGCTGCGAATCGCCCAAAGGAAAATCACATATAAAGCTCCGGTGAAGTGAACTAATTTAGAATCAATATAGCATAATTAATAACATTTGATCCTTTACCAGCATCTCCAAAAAATAGGCGCAATAGTGATCACTGACAATAGCGAAAGTAAAGGTGGGAAAGCTGTTTTGCTCGAAGGAGGTCCTCCTTCCAGCTTTGCCGTGGTCAGGTTCAAATCGGAACGAAATCACGGACTTAACTTTACAATGGAGATATTCGACACTCCGCCACCTTGCGACAGATGTAATCAACTTGGGTAATTGGTTGAATATTGATCTTTCCAAAATCAAAAACGTAATATCAGGTCACTTATAAAAATAAAAAAAAAATTGTCTAGCGAAATTATATTTTAATGTTTTAATAATATTCTTCGGAGTTTGAAGGAATAATAGGGTTTGAAATATTTTTATAAAATACTTCATCAGGAAATTGAAATGAAGCGAACGTATTTTTCCGATCGATATTGGTGGTAATTGAATATGATTACTTATTCAAAAAGTCTTTCTATATTAATATATTTTTAGCTGTGTACTAGCCAGTCATAGTTCCCCATCCAGGCCGAAAAAAACAGCACCAAACAAATTCCCACAGCAGGACGAGTACAGTGAAGAAGAAACCCTCGTCTGGATTTGATGGCCATGGCGGCGACATATTACTTCCTTATTTGTGGGCCGTGCCCGCCACCTTTCACCTTTTCCCCGTCACGCTCCAAAAAGTGAAACATTAGGCACAGAAACCGCATTGTATTCGAAGTGTGCGTGTGTTTCGCATTAAAACAATGACGCGGCGCAAACATTTTTAGCGCTGACAGCGAGCCAAACATCCGCCAGATAAAAATGTCCGCGAACAAGCACACAAATTTGATTCAATCAACTGCGGCGATGAGTCCTGTGTCTGGTATCCCCCTTTCCAAAGGGTCCTGGCCATTTGCTAGTCGTCCTGAAAAGCCCGCCGCTGGGATGATAATGATAAGCGCATAAAACCATTAAGTGATTCCACTCAAATGAGCACGTAGGATGACCGTGAAGCTTGTTCGGAACGAATTATTCGCTAACTTGCTGAACTACCATCACTCTACACACTGAAAAATATATTGAAATAACAAATTTTTTATACTTATTTCCGATTTTATAATAATATTCTTTCTATGACAATTATATCACTGTAAAAAAATTGATACCATCCGATTTTTAAAAATAATCTTTAATAATAATTAATTAAAATTATACTTATTTATTTTATTTTATTACTTATTTATTAATAAGTAATGAAATAATTTTATATTATTATTATCATTATATTAAACCATTTTTTAAATTTCGTTAAGCTGTGAAATGGAAAACATTTAACAAGTTTTAACCAACCAAAACTATTATATCATTATTACATCCATTAAAAAAACTGTATTTTAATATAAAAGTTACTTTTAAAGGGATATAAATGTATGTTTAACTAATTATAATAACTAAATAACGTGTCTAAATTTGTTATTTATAAATTCAGCTAAGTAATTCTGAGTACACTGCAGTGCAATCGACTAATTGAATCGCTCACAGGGGCAAAATCCTCGCTCTGACCCAACGGAAAGTGAATCTATCAAAAAAAAGAAACAAAAGGAACCTTTTTTGTACTGCTAGCGTGAAAAACACGACATGGGAGGTCGAGAAACGGGGGGAGTGGCAGTAACAGTAACGATGACAGCGATGTCCTTAAACCCCCGGCAAAGGGAATACGGCCTGCAGAGATAAGGGGCCGAGGGGGTGGGCCAGGTGGGCGGACCTGGAAGCCGCGATTCAGGAAAGGACGCCCCGTTCATGTTAAATGGCCAACAAGGTGACAATGCAGATATAATGCTCATAAGCAGACGGCATAAAGCGACAAAAGTGATACGACCAACGACCAACGACCATTATGTCGATGATTCGCAGGACGTTTCGCGATTGATAATGCTCACTTACTGGTAACCAAAATGACGCACAGACGACTCTGGGCGGTAAAAAAAATCGCTTATCGCTTGACTTTACGCACAATATAACAGACAGATGTCAGTAGATTGCTGAACGATGTCGTTTAATGCGAATCAATGACAAATGGAGCATTTCAATAAAGTGAAAGTTCATTACCCACCAACGAACGATACGAAACTTAATTGATTGAATTTTATAAAATTACTTTAACTGGGTATCTTTAGTTTAAGGCTACGAAGTAAAATAAGTTTGAGAAATAAAAAATAACAAATATCTTAAATACTTAAGTAATCTGGTAATTGGGAACGCATAAATAAAATATAATGAAACCAGCTGCAGCCTTTTCATTAAAAACAACTATTTATTTTTATTTTAAGAAAACCTATACCTAATCTATTTATGAGTATTACTAATTGTGTCTTCCAAATTTTGACAAAGAAAAAAATAATAGAGTAGTTTTATTTAACAAAATTATATTTTACTTTTGTACTCCGTTGTTTTTGTAATTTTCAGATGTAGTAACAGAGTACCAAAACCGGAAAAAAGAAACCAGAGTCATAAGTTGAAAAGCCACCCACATCTCCAAGCGAAACTTTGCGCCGCTGACATTAGTTAATTGTCAGCCGCTTCAGTTTGCAAACATGCATTTGGCCAAAAGCCAACATGGCCAACAAAAAATAGGGGAAGCCGGAAAGGAAAAAATAGAGAAATGGTTACAATTTAATTAAGTTCTTGGTACGTAATTTGCGCCAACACTTAAAGTTGTTCCCTTGACTTGTTTTCATGGAGCTGCCGTTGTCTTTTTGCTTTAGTTGTAAGCTTTTACACCTTCGGGGTGCCACCAACGGCGAAGTCGCCTGCTAATTACGCAAATGTTTCAACTTTAAAACGGCGACGCCATTTCACGCGCCCTGCGTGTGAAATTTATAAATGTCAACTGCAAAAGCCAGCCGCCTTCACTTTGCACTTTGTTTTGTCTGTTTAACTTTTGTTCATAGCTGGCTGACTTTTGCTGATTGTGCAGAGGTTGGAAACTGGGTGCAAACTGGGTGCAAACCCACTCCAAGTCCATGAAACCTCCAACTCAGTCCATTTATTCGCTATGCACTCGCAATTTGTTATTTTTGCTAGTTTTTAAAAATTAAAAAATTCTCCATGTTCAGAAAAGGGCAAGTAGGCGAAGACTGCAGATAATACTGAAATAGAGACATTATATTTTATGCAAGTGCAACAGTGCGTATGCGAGTTAAAAATTGTTGTACTCCACTGTTGCAATGTCATTTGCAATAATGAAAGTACATGGAATATAAAAATGGTGGTGAGCTTTAAGGCTCTTTAAGGCTCAGAAAATTAGAAGCATTTAGATTTTAGTTTGTTTATAAAAAAATAATGATATCAATTGTTGATATATTAAAATATTTATTTTAAAATGCCGACCTTTAAGAAGTATTGAATTTCTTAATACCAACCTAACATTCTTTTAAGGTGTCCAAGGTGTTGAAGAAAGAAAAACCAATACACTTTGTTAAAAAAAAAACTCAAGGTTTTCTCAAATATTTCCATTCAATTTGAAACTTAGAGCCAGACTTAGATTTACAAAAGGTAAACCCATGCACACGACCCAATATATAAAAAACCAGTACAAATAAAATTGCATTACACACACGATTACAGGGACGTACACGTATAAAACCCCGGAACACATTTGGCAGCTACTGTCAGTCAATCTCCATTAAGTCCATCCCCAACACCTTATTGAATTTTATTGTAAATTGGAAAGAAAAAATTGCACCGACTGCAAAAGACCAAATGGGAATAGGAAAAACAGGGAAAACAAGAGGCAAATGTCAGAGAAAGATGTGAGAAAAAAGCAAATTGAAAAGGAAAACAAATCGAAGGAGACAGAGAGGGTTTTTGGATTGAGGGTGAAGCTTTCAATTAATTTGCATAAACGGCCAAACGATTATGTAATTTGTATTTGCCACATAAATTATCACGCAGTGGAAATAGTTTTCAAATATGCACCCCAGACATAAAGGAATGAAGTGGGTTGAGGACCTGCGAAGAGGGGTCAGCTTATTAGAAGCGAATGAAACTGCCAACTATCAATAAATTACGAACTGGGGCGTGGCAACTGGAGTGTCCCGAAACCACAAAAAGCACAAACACTAGAGTTGTTTTGCCCTTCGAAGAGGAACTCGACTGGTTCAAATGAACGAACACTATTATTTATTAGGTTAAAAGAGATTTAAGGAATTTATTTTCATAAGCAAATAAGTTATGATTTAATATTAAGAATGATTATCATGAAAAAAAGACTTTTAAAGAAATTTTAAAAGGATTGATTATTTAGCCAAAATAACATTTAAAAAAACAAATTTTTTTTAATAAAATATTTATGTTAAATGTATTGGAGACCAGTAGTATTGTATAATAAAGTGTTTTGATTGGCAAACTTAATAACCTTATGTATTAAAAGAAAGAAGCACGTTTTCAATTTTGAATTTATGCAGAGAATTTTTCCCCTAGACTTTTCACAGTTGCCTTGGCTTGTAATAAAAATAATAATATTAACTCCAATTCCGCTCAGTTAATCAATCACGAACCGAACTAGATCCTCTCGAGGACTCAGCTCCATCCGAAATGCCCTTTGACAAATTTTTGGGGGTCTGGCATTGTGGGGCATGGTAGGTGCTTGCCAGGGACCGCAAATTTTATGCACGTTATAAATCACGGCCAAACAACGACGACAGCGTCGAGGACGACTGCAAAACTGTTCACATTAATTGTTGCAATGTCATTTTCGGGCCTATTGTGCTTGGCCAGCACCACGAACCCTGGCGAACCCCACACAAAACCGGCAGAACCCAAACCTCCCAACCGAAAAACCTCACCACATTTGGTGGAGAAGGCCAATAAAAGGCACTTTCTGTGTGTGCTCCAGACGCCTTTGTGTCACGTGGCAATTTTCGCAAAAGGAATTCCAACAATGTAGACGTTTTTCCTACAGCAAATAATCACAGAAAAAAAACAATATAGAAAGTCCAACTAGTTTTTTTTTATTCAGCATAGGCAAATGTTCCTCAGTTTGGGCGGCTGGAGTCCATAAAAACTGCTGTTTAGTAGCTGGATTTGGGGATTTGTCAAAGGCCCGACGACGAAGCGCGGATACTAAAAATCTGCTACGTTTTTTCTGCCTATATTCATAATTTCACATTTGAGACACAAAAGACCAAAGGATATCACATCGAGTTTTTGTTGTCAGCAAAGGAATGTCTACGTTAGGTGGGATTTCCCCTTAGGTGATGTACATAGCTAATTGACAAAGGTACCTTACAATAAATCAAATAAACTTCTATAACTAAATTTAAAAAAATGATTATATTTTGTATGGTTAGAAAAGATAGTATGCTTTCGATGTAAAAATATTTTTGCTTTAAGATTGGCCCATCCTGACCGCTATTACCACTCATATGTCCATATTTACATACGATATGCAATCGCAGCCACTCCATTGTGAAAAGATAATCCCTGCAAATACATAAAATGCAGACAAAAACACTTGAAAGCAAAGTTATGAACGTAGGAAATGGGGGGCCAGTGGAGGGTCCAAAAAACAGCAAAAGGGCGTCGTTAATATTTCAAAAACAGAAACACAACCGAAACGAAAACAAGGCAAAGACATAAACAGAAGTGACAAACAACAAAAGCAGGCAACGGGAGGAATAGTCGTGATACTTGGACAATTGGCACACGCACCCACACTCGATTTTCTTGGGTCCATTCGAAATATTAAGGCATATTTGCCGCTTGGTCAGCGGAACCGGACGGAAAGGTAAATGAGACAGAGCCAACCAGACGAGACAGGGTGAAAAGTCACCTTCGTGTTGCACAAAATTTATGGCCAAGAAGGAAAGAGCTTAGGATAACCAAGCTAAGGATACCCTCGAATACCCTATCCGTTTGGTATTTAGATATATTAAGCTATAAGCGCGTTGCAATTAACAATATTTAATAAAAGTCTTCTAAAAAATGTATTAACTAAGTTAAGGTTTCTTCCTGAATAGAAATTATAATATAAATATCTTCGTGAAATTTAATTAAGAGCATTTCGACTGTCATTAAAATGTATTGTGTGCAGATCAACAATCTGGGTTAAAAAATATGGGAATTTGGAAAGCGTACTTAATAGATGATTACTAATTTAATGCATGAATCATAGTAAACATGAATCATATTACTATATGGGAAATTTTCTTCAAGTTCAGTTCATAATATGTATAAAAAGATAAATGTTTCTGTTAGTTTGTTGCCCACAAATATTCTTAAAAATATTTCATTCAGTTGGTTTCATACGCTCAGAATGATCGCGTCGCAATTCCTGACCGTGGGGATCTTGTTTCTACTGTTTCTGGGACAATCCGTCTCGCAATTTGACCCCTATAAAATGGATCTCACCCGTGAGCCGAAGACAGTAAAATCTTGGCATATCATATATAAAACCTTTCGAGATGCATGGAACGAAAGAGCTCAGCCCGCAAGGACCAATGGACCTCGAAGAACTAGATTAAGGAATATTAAAAAACAGCCATTGAATCCACCAAATGGCACAAATTGATGGTTCAATAGAATACCACTCGGACTTCACTTTTTTCCACAAATCTTCCGTACTTTTGGACTTAAGCCCACCAATCCTCTTCTTTAATATCCCCCAAAGGTGCTATATGGGATTTAAATCTGGGGAAATAACTTTGATTTTGTGTAATTTAATTAAGAGAAGTTCGATTGTAATTAAAAAATATGTGAATTTGGATGATGAATGTGAATTTGCGTGAATCATAATAAACATGAATCATATTACTATATGGGGAGCTAAAAAATCTTGTCTATCCAAATTTCAACCGAAAGTCTTTTCAAGTTCAGTTTAATTTTCGGATATGTCCCCTTCAGTCCTAGCTGTTGGTCCAATCAACAATACCCTTTGCAAGAAGACATCAAAGGGGAGTTGGAAGTCGGGGTTGGGTGGCACCCACATTGCACATATTCCTTTCTCAACTCCCAGAAAAGGGGCTCCACAAAGTTGTCAGTGTGCGTTGTGTGTGTGAGGACAAATTAATTGTTGACAGCGCGACATCTTCGAACCCACAACTAAACTCCCTGGCTACAGGAAGTTTTGGGTTAAGTGTTTCCTGACACCAGATCCATTTATCACAGGGGCTTACAGGTTCTACATGGCTTTTTGGAATATTATTTCAGATTTCTAATCAATACGGAAAAGGAAAGCCACTCATTTGGATTTTGTTGAATTAGTCTGTATTATTTTAATAAACCGTAGCTAAATATATAATCAATTTTTTGATTATAATGGTTTTTTCTGTTTTTATTTATTCATAATTTAAATAAAAAATGTTTCATTACTGTGCCCATAGATTAACAAATATATTCATTTTTTATAAATACAAAAATATAACAAAAAATTTTTCAATTTTTTTTGTGAATTTGAAAGCTTCTTATCGACTCAATTTTATGTTTCTCTCGTTTAAAACATTGCTTTCTATATTGATAACAGCATGTTGAAGCTTTGAATGGCCGTGAACTAGCCTTAAAAAAATTCCATTGACAGAACCACTTCATCAGACATTCAAGATGCACGCTTCGTCTCTTCTGGCTTTTGGGATCATCTTCCTGCTGTTCCTGGGAAATCTTTTGGCCGTACAAAACACGGCGCCACCGGACCTCTTAGCCAAATTTCCCCTGAGGAAGCCGTACCTAGAATGGTTTTTCGTGGTCGCTATGCTAAGCATCTTCCGGTTTATTTCAACAATATAAAAAATTAGACACGAAAGATTATGTTGTACCACACACGTCAAGGATAAAGTTTGATATAAAAAATAAAAGTTTGAAAAGTAATCTATGAAGTTTATTAGTATGATTTGTACTGGTCCGCAGTCTTGAGGTGTTTTGCGTCTTAATCTTAATGCATAGCCTTATCGATCAAAATCTGTGGCTGGATTTCAAGTTCAGAAACAACAAGGATCAGCACAGCAAATCGCCTTATCAATTCACTGCATTAATGATACGTTCATGTATACATATGTTCTATAGTACTATAATAAAAGCAAAACATAGAAAGGTTATAAAATAATTAAAAATAGGGGAATATGACCATAACTAATGAGGTCCTGTACAGGTAAATTGTAATCCTGGGAACCAGTTATCAAGAACCAGTCCAAAATCCCGTGATCGAGATTAAAATTCAAACATTTGAAAGTGATGCTTTTACTTTGAGCCTGAAAGTATGCAGCTCATTTACCTTTGCAATATCCAAAAACTGTTGAAGAGCATGATAAATGCCCCTAGGCAACTCTTTTTCTCATTCTCTCTCATATTTTTATTTCATAATATATAGTCTATTTATTTTATATATTATTTCGATTTATCTGACAGACAATATGGTATAAATTTAATTGATTTATTTATTTTGATATTTATAATCATTTGTTATGTTTGACCAAGTTAATTTTGTATGTACGCATTAACATGTATAAAAAGAGAATTGTTTCTGTTTTTTTGTTGCCCACAAACATTTTTAAAAATATTTCATTCAGTTGGTTTCATACGCTCAGAATGATCGCGTCGCAATTCCTGACCGTGGGAATCTTGTTTCTACTGTTTCTGGGACAATCCGTCTCGCAATTTGACCCCTATAAAATGGATCTCACCCCTGAGCAGAAAGCAGAAAAAACTTTTAAAGTCGATTATGATATAAAAGTTCCGACTAAATGGAACGAAAGAGCTCAGACAGCAAGGACCAATGGACTTCGAAGAACTAGATTAAGACAAATTAAACAAACAAATACAACTTAAGCTGTTTTAAAGTTTCATTATTTTCATTTGTGCATATATCTAAATGTAAAACCATATCGAAATTTTGGTGACTAAGTCAATTTTGTTGAGTCTTGGATTTCAAGTTCACAAATAACATAAAAAGAAACATAAAAATCCTTATCATCTCGCTGGATTATTTCACAATTATAAGTAAGAATTTCTTATTCAAAAAAAACCTTGTTTGATTTTTATGAAATCCCTGCTTTTTAGGAAAATCCCTGTTGCCGCATTACTCTTTCAAACTGTATATTAAAGTATATACAAGAGTAATAAATAAAAAACGAAATACACCGTCTCAAAATAAAAATGTAAATAGTCTAAATTAATTCACTTTTTTGTTTCTTAAAATACAAACCCTATTACATTAAAATTTATTGAATTCCAAACTTTAATAACAAATAAAATGAAATGTTAGATTCTGTAACAATTAAACATTTCTTTTCATTTGCTTAGGACTATTTTAAAACAGATAAATTTAAATAGTTTTTTCTTGATTCCTTTATATAGAAGAGTGAGCATTTTTTCTTGCAATATTTTTGATACATTTTGGTTTTAAGTTTAAATGTTCATTTTACAACAAAAATCGACTAATAAAAATTGTGTTTTAAATTTTCATTATTTGGCGGCATAATTAAAAATATGTTCAGTCAGCCAGGCAACGCTTTCTCAGCGGGTTGCCAGACTACCACTCAGCTGATGTTTGTTATTATTTAAAATTTGCTAGTGCAATTATAATTTCCCTTCAGAAACTTTATTTAACAACGCCTTTTAATTACTCGGTAATATAGTCTATATGAAACATATATGCTTAAAATCTCTTATATATTGTAGTTTATGAGATGCAATCTAAAAACCCCAGCGAATCATACCATTCAAGATCAAAGTGAAGTATTTTGTGGCATCCCAACAAAAACACAAAAATATCACAAAGCAGTTAGAAAGTGAGTACAATTTATTGAATTCCTGTAACAAAGGCCACAAGCGACAGTCTCCAGCGTTACCGACACCTAAAGTAGTTAAACAATTATTTGATCATAGAAAACATCTACTGTTTCAGAGGAAATGGAGGCACCCAGCCGCCGAAAGTTCTCTCCAGTTCCTCCGCCACCGCCAGACAAAGGCGATCATTATTCGGATTGGAGACCACTTGGATGCCCAAAGGCAGCCCCTTGGAGTCGAGGCCCATGGGAACCTGGGTGGCTGGCAAATGGAGCACATTGAACAGACTGAAGTAGGCAAAATCATTGAACTTGATCAGCGGATAAAAGTGGAACGGCGCTGTCCTCGGAGAACTATGGAAAAATAGCACTCCATCGTCGCCGAGTAAATCCTGGACTGACTTCTTACACTTTGCCGTGGCTTCCCGGATCAGCTTCTCCTTTTCCTTCGGCAGCACACTGTCAATTAGGCCATAAATAGCAGCCATGCTATAGTCACTTTGTCCAAGGATTTTCTTAAAGAGCTCCACAAAAGGATTGAGTTCGGCACCGTTTCCCAACAACAGATTAAAGTTGGCCGGTTCCTGGGTCATCCAATAGCGCCACATCTTGCCGGTTATCTTGGTATTGGGTATGTCAGCATGTCGCACATCTTTGCCAGTCAGATTCTCGAAATGTTTGCGAATCTTGTACATAACCCTCTCCGTTTCCTTGTTTATAGGATTGCATTGAGCCATGCCATTGGAGGCCACATAGAAGTAACGCAGCCGCTTCAGATCCACCTGCTCATCCAGTTTAAGCTTTGCCTTAAGCGATGGTTCTATGAGGACCTGCATCATGGGCAGCAAATCCCGAGCAGAACGACTCATGGGACCGGCGCATACCATCGTATCCTTCTCCTTACCGGTTCTAAAGGTACACCCAGACATATTGACTGCTCCGGAAGAGGGTTTGTGCCCGAAGACGCCGCAATTGAAGGCCGGTATCCGTATAGAACCACCTATATCAGTTCCCAAGCCGAAACCCGTGCAACAGGCGGCGATAAGAGCGGCTTCTCCACCGGAAGAACCTCCCACAGATCGTCGCAGATCGTAGGGATTGTTGGTGCCACCAATCAGCATATTCCTGGACTCAATCCACTTGTTCACCTCCGGAACATTACTCGTGGCGATGATAATGGCGCCACTCTCCTTCATCAGGCGAACGCATTCGGCATCCGTGGACGAACGTTCCGATTTCCGGGATAGTAGACCCAAGGTATGGAGCTTTCCAGCCACAGCGGTACTATCCTTGGTGGAAAAGGGAACACCCAGGAAGGGCTGACGCCGGAAGTCCTCATCGGTGTACTCCTTTTTGGCCAGCCTCCGGTCGATTTCGCGTGCCTGATCCAAGGCCTCCGGAAACGGGCCATCCACCACGGCATTAAGGTCCCGATTAACACTATCGATCCGTTCGCAGTAGGCCTTGACAATGTCGTAACTCCGGATCTTGCGTTCCCGTATCTGTTGGGCCAAGTCCACGGCGCTTTTGCTGAGCAGGGACTGCTGTTCCACGCTCGGTGGACCCGGAACCCGTTTGTGGTCACCCAGATACCATCCCAAAATGAACTCCAGGAGGCGATCGCTTAGGATGTGGACCAGTGCCAGCAGGGCATCCAGTACGTGGCTCCAAAACGACATGATTGCCTGCGTTTTTGCTGAGATTTGCACTTTGCGCAATGCAAATGCAAACTAAAACCAAAGACCACTGAGGTTGCGATAAACCCAGACGTTGCCACCCGATATGGGCGAAAGCTGGCAAGAAAAGCTTTCCCAAAAAACCAGTTTCACTTCGAATCACAGTGGGACCCATTTAACTTGGTTATTCAGTAGAAGCAACTATAGATCACTTTAAACCACTCAAGACACTCCTTTTAACATGATATGTTGACAGTTTTAGATGCACTGATACAATTGATTTTTCAGTTCGTCCAAAACTTTAAAAATTGATTTTTCAGTTCATCTTAAACTGCCAGCATCAATTACGCTTATCAAATAGGTAACAATTTGATATGTTTTTTAATCTGATAAATGATATATTCATATTTAATTCATAATTTTTATTTTTGTTAAAACATTTTTTTATCTATTTTTTTATTAACCAATGGTAAGTTTGAAGATGACATGACATGTTTGGTCATAATGAAAACCAACGATTTCTAATTATTAAATATTAAAAATGTATCATATTTTTGAAAACTTTGAAAAGTTTTTGTTACTGCAAAAACGCCACTTGATATTCCAATGTTTAATGTTTTAAATTAATTGTTGAATAAAATGTATACATTTAAGTCCGAAAAATATTTGTATTACTACAATGACCTTAACCTTTCAGAACTTTTCGTAAGAAAGTACGTATTATAAATTATATTTAAAATAATTAAAAATTAGTTCGATAATAAATGCTCAGAAAAAGAATACCGCAAATATGTTGACTATTCGAACATGCGCATGAACAGCTGAGCGGGGAGTCCCCTTAACCCATTGGTCGCGTCGTGCAAAGACCGCCGCTCAAATATCGACCCGCAGCTGCTTAGATGATTTTCGTCAACAAAACAAAACCAAAAAGTCGGTCAAAGATCCGGGATAAATATTGAAAATTGTAAATTAAATGAATTAAAAGCAGAGGCCTCGTGCAGTGCGAAAATAAAGTTATTTAAATTTCTGCCAAGGCAGCTCGAATCAAATTTAAACCCAGTACGTTGACCGGTAATACGAATCTTAGATACCCTGTAAACACCAACGCAGTTCGATCACCCCGATAAAAATCGCATTACTAATCAAAGTTTACCTCTTATCTCCATGGTGAATCATTTTTTAATTGTTTTTCCATTAAGGAACTCTTATCTCGGTCGAAATTTTGTTTATTCGATAGTGTGTGACACACGTAACTATTTAGTCAGCATGCTTTTCAATACCCAAAATGTATATAAATAGAAAGTTTGCAAAAAAAATGTGCATTTGTCCAGTAAATATGCAAGTTTTTGTTGCACTTACAGCGTATTTATACGGAAAAACAAACATAAAACCCATTTACAACCCGTGTTAAATTGCAATTACCGGCTAAAAGGCAAAACCAAGTGTTAAATGCTACCTGTAAAAATTTGGAGTGTGTGTCTGTTTGCCTGGGAGCCGCCACAACTGTTAATACTAAATACTAAGTTTATTATTAATTTTTAATCATATTTAGTTGCCATGCCATAGTCTTGGCCGATTTAAATCGCTATCAGGTGCTTTTCTTGGCACTATCTTTTCCACTTTACTGGAAAGGGTGTGTGGTTTTATGGCTATGCGTTTTTTTATTAACAACACCTGGTGGAGGTGTTGTTGCCCTACCTGAGAAGTGACGTTATCAGTAGAAATGCGAACGTGTCGTGACACGAATTAAATCAACTTTGTCGTGACACTAATTTATTACACGCGTGTCTTCTTCAATTTAAAATTTGAGATAGGTCAGCAATCGGCATATGTATTTGTTTTTTAAAAGGCCAGTTCTGACACCCTGTATTTGTTGATAAGAAAAAATTGATAATTCAAATTTAAAACAATGAGTTTGTATTTGATGAATTCATAACTTCTATTAAGTTCTACTGTTTGACAAATCTTAGTTTTTGACTTCACAAAAAATATAAATATTTCTTCTATTACTACATCAGATTGAGTTGACAAACTTTTCACTTTAAAGTCTGTGCAAATTACATCAATAGACTTTCATTACCTGTAATTTCGAAGCACGAATTTAGGACTCAACTCAAAGTTGAGGTTTCCAGAATTTGAAACAAAATTTTAAGGTAAACACACCTTTAACACGCAATGGCAAGAGTATTTGTCTCTCGTCTCTGGTTGTTGATTACCTCAACCGTTTTGAATCTGTCAGATAATAAACCTTCGGGATAGCTGTACACTCAAAAGAAAGACTGATTGAAAAAAACTAAACTCTATCTCTTATTTTTAATAAAATAATTGATTTTATCTTTTAGAATTGTTTCAAGAATTTGCAAAAAATTTTTAAAATATTTTTACCTAGACTTAAAGTTATTTTTAAGAACTCATTCGTCATTTCTTTGGCAATTTATCCGTAAATATTGTTTCCGAGTGCAAGCGATATCTCAGCAAACAGCGAGTTTATGGCAGTGTGTCTGTGTGTCATGTCTGTTAAGTGGGGCCGACTGCTTGACAGTTGATTCGTCAAATAGCACCGCACTCGACGCTGTTTTTCTTTCGTTTTCAGTTACCTCCAGAGATTCACGCACGTAGTTTTCCGTTTCCACAGGTGAAGCACAACGCGATGGAGCGGAATCCAGTCACGGTAGCCGGTGGAAAAAGTGGTGATTCCAGTAATCAGGACGAGAAACAGTACTCCAGTGCAGCGGATTACATGAGGAATTTCAAGAACATCATAGCCCCGGGAAATGAGGCCTCCATGACCAGGGAGTTCAATCCGCAGGTGGCCTACGAATTCGAAAAGTATCTCAATCCCCTGAAGCTCAAGCAGCATGTTCTCAAGAGTGAGAAACTGCGATCCATTATAGAGCACTATGCCAAGGAATCGGGACAGCCCATAAAGCAACTGGAACGCCAGGCCAGGGCGATCATTGATGAAATCGGTCTGGAGCGGAATATGGCCATTATTCGATGGTGCGGAATCGCCATAACAGCGATCGGCAAAAGGATCTGCGATGGATTCTACGTCAATTCGGCCAGCATGGCCAACGTCCGCAAGGATATGGGCAAGTGCCCGGTGCTCTACCTCCCGAGTCATCGAAGCTACATGGACTTCATCCTAATGTCGTACATCTGCTACTACTACGACATCGAGATACCAGGAATAGCAGCCGGAATGGGTATGTTTAATGTGATTAAAAGAGTAATACAAGCCATAAGGAGGTTATATATTTTTAGTGTGGATCAAAGAGCACATTCGGCTAGTAATTTCGATAAGTTTTTAATCATTCATGATTGCAGATTGTATATAATTATTTTTTGGACAATTGTTTTTTATGAGCATGTTTGGTACATGTTCGTTATAAAAAAACAATTTTAATTTTCCTTTTTTACGAAAGTGCTAAATTTGTTCCAACGGAACTCGTGTTAAAAATATAAATTAGGTTTGCTTTTCTATTAACACATTGTCAACATCTTGCCATATTTTTTCAACGTGAATATTTAACACTCAATGACATGCTACATTTTTAATATGCTAGCATTTCAATTAGTATGAATTAGCAAAAAAAAATGTCAACTTTTTGTTTACCTGGAGTTATTATGCAATTAAAGGTGTTAAAATTCTATAATTGCTTAATACAATACGAACAAATTTTAGAAAAATAATAAAATTGATGAAGTTATAGATAACAGTAAAGTTAAAGTATAAACACATTAATCTGTTTTGTTTTGAAAAGTTTTTTATATAAATATTTCCTTAATTCGTTTTAGATTTCCACTCGATGTTCGGCATGGGCACCATGTTGAGAAAAACGGGAGCCTTCTTCATGCGACGTAGCTTTTCGAACGATGAGCTTTACTGGGACATTTTCCGGGAGTACATGTACGCCCTGGTGGCCAATTACCACATCGGCGTGGAGTTCTTCATCGAGGGCACTCGCTCCAGAAATTTCAAAGCCCTGGTGCCCAAAATAGGACTCCTTTCGATGGCCCTGCTACCGTATTTCACTGGTGAAGTGCCGGATGTAATGATTGTGCCCGTAAGTGTGGCCTACGAGCGAGTCCTGGAGGAGCAACTGTTTGTTTATGAGCTGCTGGGAGTGCCAAAACCCAAGGAGTCGACCAAGGGATTCTTCAAGGCCCTGAAAATCATCGACGAGCGATTTGGCAAGATGTTCCTGGACTTCGGAGAACCGATTTCGGTAAAGGAGTTCTTCGGACACGACAGTGGGCAGCGGATGCAGCGAGCAGGCGTGGGCGGTCACCTCCAGAAGCTCAACCGCCAGGAGGTGGAACTGGTCAAGCAGCTGGCCAACGAGATTATCTACCAACAGCAGCGACGCATTGTGATCACCACCTTCAATCTGTTGAGCTTGTACTACGCGAGTCAATTGTATGCCCAAAAGAGTGTAAACATCGATGAGCTGTCCCGGGGTGTTCTGCATCTAAAGCGGATCTTCGAGCAGCTGGGAGCCCATGTTAGCACTACTCCTAGTAGCATCAAGGCGGATATTATAGATGCCGTGGAGATACACTCAAATATCCTGCATTTTGCCACCGCCAGATTGCAGTTTACGCCCATGGCAGCCAAACAATTGGCGGAACGGATAGATGTGAAGCGCATGAAAGCCCACGCTCTTTGTCCACAAACCATGGCGGTGGCTGTTCCCATGCTGGCCCTGCAGCTCTACATCAATCCCTGCATGTTTTGGCTGGCCAGACCGGCTTACCTGCTCCTGGCAGCGCTGAAGGAGCAGAGGAATCAAAGGAATCAATTGACAGAAGACATCTCGTACGATGCCAGTTTAAGTGCCCTGCACTCGCATGTGACCACCATGGATGCACTGTTCCAGCACGAGTTCATCATTGAGTCGAATCGCGAGGCGGCCGAGTTTGAGACCCATCTTCAACTGCTCCTGGACGAACGGGTGGTGGAGGTGGAGAAGAGCGGTAGGATCAGGGTGCAGGACAATGAGTGCTCGCATGTCATACTGGCTGCCTTGGCGCCATTCCTATGCCTCTACTACCAGCTGGTGGTCACGTTAAGAAAGGTGAGTAAACCTCAATAACTTACTTTAAACTTACCGATTCTAATTGAATTGTTTCCCTTGCAGATTCCTTTGGATTTCGAGTTCAGCAACAAGGATTTGCTTGTTCGCGTCCAGCAGCATGTGGAGCAGCTACTTCAGCAACCCGGAGGATCTGCCTCCCACGTGCATCCATATTGCCTGGCACTGGACAATCTCAACATAGCTATCTACGCCCTGATCCAGAGGAGCTACATTCTGAAATGTAAGGACTCGGGACAGATGAAGATCGCCGGCACTCCAGGAAAGTGCCTGCAGGAGCTGGAACGACAGCTCCTCGAGTACTGTCAATTAATGCCATTCGCCCAATACTCGACGGCGGCCAACCAGCAGGCGCAGTTTCACATAGCCAAGTTATAACTGGCAAATGGCAAGAGGTCGGCGGGGCAGGCGGCTCCCAGGGAAGAGGAAACCGATCTAAATCCCGATTCAGGATCGAATCCCAAACAGTGTAGTACAATTAGCATTTCATTGCCCATGCAGTTCATCCAGTTTGTTGTCGGCCTGCTCAAGAATTGTCGCATCATCTGCATTTTGTTTTTCATTGTGGTGGTGGCGCCGCTTTGGCAGCTGGTTCACTGGATCATCACTTCCTCCCATTCATTCACGTAGGCTTAGGGGTGTCTAGTTAGGATGGATCGAATTAAATAGTCGGAAAGAAATTCTAAAATATTTAATACATCAAGGTACCTACGAAATCTTACGAATTTTTTCACTTTATTTAATTCAATTAAATTCTCTTTTAAAAACAAAAGATATTTGAACAAAAGTCTCTTTTAGAATGAAGTATTGCTCATATATCAATATAATCCCATAGCTATAATTTGACATTCCCCTTTTTATAGTTTTTTAAATAAGTTTTAAGACAAAAGAGAAAATAAATTAAATTTTTGACTTTCCATGACTTAAAAAAAATCGGTCCATCCTAGAAAGCGAGTGTATCTGAGAACTAAAAGTATATATAAGCTTAAAAACTGATATTTATGTCAAGTTTGCCATAAAATACAAATGAAATTCACTAAAACGCCAAAACACAAACTTGCAAGAAATCGAATTTTGATCAAAAACAATTTGTATAGAAAACCGGTTACTGGTAGATCCCATCGAAATATATATTTCATATATTTTTTGCCAAGGACATCTTAAAATGTTTTCCAACAAAACATGACACAAAAATGCACAATTTCAAGATTTTAAAAGATCAATTAGTTAAGATCTTGCAAAGGTTTGAAGATTTTTAAACTAGCAAGAAACATTTTCAATATTTAGTTATATCGTTTTTTATTTGTTCCAAGCGAGATATTAACTTTTTAAATCATTTCGAATTAATAATCTTTTTCACATTTAACATAATTAGGCACAAATTATTTAAACTATTCTTTATTGGCAAAAGTGTGACGGATTTTGTAATTTTAAAATTCCTTTAAATCGTTTAAGTTGTTGTACAATGTAAGCTGGTGTTACGTTTGTGTTTCATTTTATAATCATAAGTTGGTTATGTTCATCATCCCCGGAGTTATTTTTAAATATTCTATTGTGCCAATACAAAAGTCAGCACCTCAAAGAAAAAATTACAAGGCAACAATAAAACTTGCCACTAGATATTTATAAAAAAGGTTGATTCAGACGTGATCCCATTTGCGTTCAAATCCGCTTATTCCTAAAGAAAATAGCACAAAAATGTCCGAAATGTGCAAAACAAATATTATGTATTATGATATTTTTAGACATTGTTTGGTTTTATTTTATATTTATATAGATTTTAAAAAGAGAAAACAACACCGATCCTAACTTCACCCGCTAGTAACTAAACCAACAAAAAAACAGAGCAATAATAAAAATGTAGTCGGTGTCGATTGCACCCCAGAAACTTAAATCATCTGGCTTTGAATTGAAATGTTGAAGGTCACTGGCAGAACTGTCGTTTAAACTTGTCCAAAGTGCGTTGGCTGATTACCACGTGCATCATCAGCCGCTCGGGATTCTTCTCATCCGCTGTCGTTTCCACCACGGCTGCATTTTTATACAGCCAGGCCATTTCGGGTCCACCGCTGGGCACTCTCATCTGAAGTTTTCTTCGCCCAGTTGCGGTCAGAATTTGTTGCTCGATATCATTTAAAAGGGGTTCCAATCCGGTTTGTGCTCGAGCTGATATATGATGCACGGGATCTGATGACGACTGCGCCTTTAAGGATACCAAATCACATTTGTTGTACACATTAATGATCGGTGGCAATTGGCTGGCCGTGGAATCTCCATTAGCAATATTAAAGGCCAGGGAACGGAGCGTGGCCTCCACATGACTGCGTTGAGAGGCGTGACATGGATGAGAAAGGTCCTGGACGTGCACTATTACATCCTGGGGTGAGAGAAAAGGGTAATTTTAAGAAAAAACTAAGGCAGATTGGTACTTTTACCGCCAGCATTGCATCCTCCAAAGTAGCCACAAAGCACTCGAACAATCCCGTTGGCAAATCAGACATAAATCCTACGGTGTCCATGTAAATCACCTGCAGATTGCAAGGTAAACAACCCGCATGTGCCGTCACATCAAGGGTGGCAAACAACTGATTCTTCGGCTGCAGTGCATCCTCCACAGTCAGAGCCTTTATCAAAGACGTCTTGCCAGCATTTGTGTAGCCTACCACGGCCACAATGGGATAATTTTGTTGTTTTCGTTTTTGGCGAAGCAACTGCCTCTGCCGACGCACACGATCCAGTTCCGCTCGCAGTTTGCGCTCCCTGGTGCGCAGAATCTCCTTTTGCAGATCAGTCAGGGTATATCCTTGGCGCCGTGTCTGTGTGACACTGGCATCCTTGGCTTGCGCCCAAATGTAGGGAAGCTCAGCCATGGCCACCTAAAAAAGTAAATGCAATATTCAGTTTATAGTAAAACTTGATAGTCATTTAATTATCATTTAAAACCTACCTGTAGCTTCGCTTCAGCGCTTGTGGCATGCAGCCTTAAAATCTGAATAACCACAGAGTAACGATCCATCACTGGCAGTCGGAACTCCGCCTCCAGAAACCGTTTCTGAGCGAAGGATAACGTGCCCTTGCTGACAAAAAGGCAAGTGAGCTGCCGTTCCTGTCGTAGTTCGGCGACCACTTCCTTAAGTTCCACCAGCTTTCCGCTGCCAAAGAGTGTCTTTTTCTCGAGACTCTCTAGCGGAACTTTGAGAGCCCTGGCGACCTGCCAATTGGGCAGGGAGTGAATCAGGGCAGACGCCTCCGCCAGCTGATCCTCTGGCCGGATATCGACGGGTGAGCTCTGGCGTTTGGCTGCCCACTTCACGTAGGGCTGTAGGATAAGGACTTGCTGGGAACTGGCTATGTCTCGAGTGATTCGCATAGCTCCGCCTGCCACTTCGTCGTAGGCACTGGAATAAAATGAGAAGAAATGAGATGTCAACATAAAACATGATTAACAGCAGTAGTTAAGTAACTTTATACAGGATTCTGAATACCTACCGATCATCTAGGAACCTCATATCTGCCAGGTATCCACTGGATTCCCGCTCCTCCTCCGCCAAGTCCTCAATATCTTCATTCCTTTGACCAGCCTGCATTTGGGCTTCAAAGAAGCTCTTCCTGTTCCGAATGCCCTTAACTCCTTGATGTTGTGTGTATTTCAAGCGTGCAGGTATCTTTACAACCGCACGGAAAGGAAAACTCCTGATCAACCGATTAAATACCCGTAGACCGGACATGACTAAAACTAATTAGGGTTTGACAACTATAACTAAAAGGTTTTCTCGTTCAGCACGGAATGCTTTTCCTCAAAAGCCATCCACGCCGCTTGACAGGATTTCGTGCGCGAGGAAGTCGTTTGATAGGATACTCCCGTTGCCACCAAAGATGAAATCAGTATATTGTACTTCACAGGATATCGAATACGGGATTGAATGATCTTCTGACCAAAGTAGGTGCCGGAAAAACCTGTAATTTGTATAATTATTATGCAATTATTGAAAAACAAAAGAAGAATACTAACCCAAACAAAATGTGGCGAGTCCTGTGAAAAGGGAGCGGGTCATGCAATCGATGTAACCATCGAATCCTGGGTGCTTCTCGCGCTGTTGATCCTTTAAACGCTTGATATCGTTCATAATAATCGCTTAATAAAACGTTTTATGTACGTTATTTTCATTGGCTTTTTGCCGGCGCGCAAGAAAGAACAGCTGCTTGCAAGAGGTGGGCTAATTACTAACAATAGTATCTGCATGCAAGCATATATTATTGCATCCGATAGTAGTAAAATAAATGATTCTATCTTTTAACGCAGCGAATTTGCGAGAAATCCTAACAAGTTGGTTATAACTTACTTATAACCTTCCAAAAACCTATTTTTTAACGGTTTTTATCTAAAAAAAATTTTCATATATTGGGTACTTTGGAACCCCAAAAATTTTAATAGTCGCTCAGTGCAAAAAACACTTTAATTTTTAGTGCCAGCACTTTGATACAATATTAAATCTAAACTACTATATAAAAGTCTTCGAATAAAAAATGGGTCAGTGGTAAATTCCTACCAGAGCGGATTGACATAAAAATCTAGAAAAATCAGCATAATTCTGAAATAATTAGGAGACGTGTGTGAGGTACAAATTAAAACAATAAACGACCCCAAAGTGCCCCAAAATTCGATTCGTTTTTTTTTAAATTCTTTCTTTTGCCATTTTTCTGTTATAAATGTTGTTAAAATGGTTTCAAAAAATTATGATCATAATCTTATGGCATAGCCGCAACTAACTGCATTTAAATTTTTTGGAAATTCAGCCTCCTTAACCAAGTCCCCAATATTTTCCAATTCTCTTATGCGTGACGTCACGGCCTCCACATATGTTTGTATGTATGTTCTGCTGGCGCACTTTGCATTAAGTCGTAAATGAGTGTATGTAGCATTTTAAGTGTGACCGCGCAGGGGAAAAAATAAAAATACCAGTCACAAAAAATTTAAAATGCGCGGTTAAAAAATCGATTATATCGCAAATCTTTTCATTTGTTTTCAAATGTTGAGTTATCTACAAACTTTGGATTTGTAAAAAACAAAAATAAACAATGATTCGCTCTGCTATGTACACACACACGCACGAAATATGTATATCCAAAAAATCAAGATAATACTGATATCCTTTTGCTAAAAGAATATTTAATTTACATTTCCACAACAGGTTTAAGACATTTTGTAACCGATTTTTGTCATTTAAAATTCAAATCGCATTGATAATATTAAAAGAACATTAAATATTCAAACCAATTGATTCTCACGCTCTTTATTACACGTGCCTCATATTGTTTAAACAAATGCAAATGTTTAAACAATTTGATTCACGGCGTCCCCCACCTGTCTTTATCTAATCTAAACTACTATATAAAAGTCTTCGAATAAAAAATGGGTCAGTGGTAAATTCCTACCAGAGCGGATTGACATAAAAATCTAGAAAAATCCGCATAATTCTGAAATAATTAGGAGACGTGTGTGAGGTACAAATTAAAACAATAAACGACCCCAAAGTGCCCCAAAATTCGATTCGTTTTTTTTTAATTCTTTCTTTTGCCATTTTTCTGTTATATATGTTGTTAAAATGGTTTCAAAAAATTATGATCATAATCTTATGGCATAGCCGCAACTAACTGCATTTAAATTTTTTGGAAATTCAGCCTCCTTAACCAAGTCCCCAATATTTTCCAATTCTCTTATGCGTGACGTCACGGCCTCCACATATGTTTGTATGTATGTTCTGCTGTATGTATGTTCTGCTGGCGCACTTTGCATTAAGTCGTAAATGAGTGTATGTAGCATTTTAAGTGTGACCGCGCAGGGGAAAAAATGAAAATACCAGTCACAAAAAATTTAAAATGCGCGGTTAAAAAATCGATTATATCGCAAATCTTTTCATTTGTTTTGAAATGTGTACTGCTATGTACACACACACGCACGAAATATGTATATCCAAAAAATCAAGATAATACTGATATCCTTTTGCTAAAAGAATACTTAATTTACATTTCCACAACAGATTTAAGACATTTTGTAACCGATTTTTGTCATTTAAAATTCAAATCGCATTGATAATATTAAAAGAACATCAAATATTCAAACCAATTGATTCTCACGCTCTTTATTACACGTGCCTCATATTGTTTAAACAAATGCAAATGTTTAAACAATTTGATTCACGGCGTCCCCCACCTGTCTTTATTATTAATATAATCTTTTACTTTTGCATACTTCTTTACGTCCCATTAAATGACCGTTTGCTGTAATTAATTCAAGTGAAACATAACCTGTTGGTCGTGTACAAATACTTCATTATTTGCCAATTGTTTTTTTTTTTTTAATGTGTGGAAAGAAGGTGTGTAAAGAGGGGTTGGGGGCCCAAAAACGCCAAAACTGTAATTAGGTGATACATGGACAGCCTCTTAAAATTGTTAACCAAGATAAAAATAAAGGAAATTGTATTATTGGGGACGCATTTAACTTTTCCTTTGGCATATTTCTTAATTTTTCTTACATAAATATTTGCTTTCCTTATAAGCGTTGTCTACTGTGGATTCTCTTTTAAACTTCTTCTAAATCGTCAACAGTATGTGATTTTTTATTAACCCTTTCGTTACCAATGTGCATAAAATTACCTTTTCTACATTCTTCGGTTGTAATAGTAATAGTACATTAATATTATTTGTCAAGCAATAACATCACTAGAAGAAAGTAAACATAGCATGGCTTAAATGTTAAAAAAATGTATATTTGTTAAATTAAAATTTTAATTCTTTAATTTCAATTTGTAATTAAAAAAAATAAAAAAAAAATTAAAAATTAAAAATAAAGAGTTCTAATCTAAATATAAACAAAAACAATGAAGAGTCTTAATTTTAGATTGTTTTTGAAAAACACTTTGTTTTTATTTTTGTCCTTCAATATAATGTATCGCCCTTAACTGCAAAACAAAAGATGTGGCAAAATAAAATGTAAGCGATCGGTATTTAAAAAAAAATTAAAATTAATATAATTATAGAAAAAGATCCTACCATATTTAAAATCTTCGGCACAAAAAGGTTAAGTTCAAAGAGAGGGAAGTAAACTGATGGAATACGCACACATACATCCGTAATTCGGCAAATTTGGACTTATATATGTTTTTAGGCAGCAATTCTGTCAGTTTTAAAATGAATCCCCATGGAAATGGTGCTGGGCAGTGGGTTGCATGGCAACCCAATTACACGGCAGCTCCAGCTAGCTATTCGTATCCGTATCAAGCTGCAGTTCCGCCTCCAGTTGTGTGCCAACACGTCCCGCAACCCGTACCCGTCCAGCACTTCACGCAGCATTTCCCGCAACACGTTGCGCAACATGTACCGCAACATGCGCAATGTGTTCAGGTGAAATCAATAGATGAGCAAGAAACTAAAAATTTTATGGGAAAAAACAAACGACAACAAAACTGGGTTAACATTAACCAGCAATTGAAAACGCAAAATAAAACCATAAAAACTTTGACGCAAACGTGCAAGAGGATGCAGAACGAATTAAAAACAATGAAGAAGAAGGTAGCAGACCTGGAAAAAACTCACGAAAACGTATCTCTTATGGAAAGGAGATTTAAGAACCTTCAGCAAGGTCGTAGACCTTCAATTTAATCAAAATTGTTAATTTTTTGACAAAAATAAAATTTAAAAATTTAAGTTTTTTGTTTTTTATTCTTTTTTTTTCTCATCTTTAGCAAAATTGCAAGTGAACAACAATAAAACCAACCATTTAATCTTCTCCTTTTGCATACATTTGTACTTCTCATTAAATGATCTTTTGCTGTAATGCATTTAAGTGGCAATATAGCTCAGGTGTTAGAGGTTGTATATAAATGTAATGTGATCTGTAGGTCGTGGGTTCAAACCCACTTTCAGTTCTTGCCAAAAATGATGTTGACATTTTTTTTTTTTGAAAGTGAAATCCAAGATTGGTAAGAACTCGGTTTGAAAACACGACCCTTAAATTGCAAGGAAACCACATCGTACAACAACACCAACTCTTTAGGAATGCTATTACCTAAGACTACTTCTTCATGAAGTGCGGGGACCAACCTCATTCTTATTTCTTAAAACAGTTAATAACATTACGTATGCTACATTTCAATTGGCATGTAAGGCTTTGGGCTTACTAGAAGATGACACACACTGGGAATATACCCTAAAGGAAGCAGCTTTATGTAAATCGCCAATTCAATTACGTGATTTATTTGCGGTGATGTTAGTAAATTGTCAAATGGCTGATGCCGCACATCTTTGGGAAATGTATAAAGAAAGCTTTTCAGAAGACATTTTGTACGAGTTTTCTCTAATAGTGGCAGAAGTCAATCAAGATCTACTGGATAGAGTGTTTAATAAATGTCTTATTTTAATCGAAGATATAACACTGTCCATTGGAGGTACGTGTCTATTAGACTATGGTTTGCCCGAACCGATTAGAGTTAGTAGACCACTTCAAAATAGGGAATATTTAAACGAAATAAATTACAGATATTAATGAATTCGAATTAAGTAAAGACGAAAATTCCCTTAACGATGGGCAAAGAATGGCATTTCAAAAAATATTACAAAGTGTTCAAAATGAAAACGGTGAAATATTTTTTTTGGATGCCCCCGGTGGCACAGGCAAGACATTTTTATTGAATTTGTTGTTAGCAAAATTACGACATAATAATAATGT